CTTTTTTTTTTCTTTTTTTTTTTTTTTTTTTTTTTTTAAGTTCATTTAAAAGAATATTAGTTCATTCTGGTTATGTATACAAAGTTCTGCGACTTCTATATAATGACAAGCATGAACCAGTGCTCTGACCCCATTCGCATGATAAAGCATTGGTGATAGCAGATCGTTTATGGCTACATAGCTTCCTCGTATTAGCAAACCGATATTATATGCAGCAATATTCGTTCCTAAAATATTTTCTACTTCTTTTTTTGATATTTTTCTTTAAGGAAGTCAACAAAGATTTTCTTGAAGACCGAATTTGTTTTGGAAAGGCGCCTGATTACGAGATCAAACGTTTCACACACGAATATCTCTGGCATATTTTCATAGTACGATCACACGAAATAATTAGAAGAAAGTAAACTTTTGTTCTTTGGGACACTAGTTGTACACTGAATGGCAACGGTACAACTTCCAATCACAGACATCAAATACGAATGAATGTAAACTTCAACGTTGGCAATGATTATGAAAAGGGATGTGGATCCTATACCTTCTTGCTAGTGTCAGTGTTCTTGCGCTTTCTGCCCCTCCCCCCCCTTGCTGCCTGGTCGTTACTCACAGGATGATTGGTTGTTGGCTCATTGTCTGTTAAGGTAGGGGTGTCTTTCGGGCTAGTCTGACCAGCTGGAGCAGAAAACCTCTCAACATATGTAGACCATTTTTCAGATACAGTAACTCCTTCCCTTTCTCTTTCCCTACAATTGTTGTCCATCGCCTCATCACCTTCCGTATCCAACAATTCCATTGTCATTTTACAGTCTTTTTTATACTGTAACAATAAAAAATTTTACATATGAAATATTCTTCTTTTAATTCATTAAAAAATAACATTTTTTTAATATTTATTTTTTTACATCTATAAATTATATAAATATTAATAATATTGCCAGCTGGAATTAAAAATAAAATATTATTTAAGAATTAAAATTTATTATTATTATAAATTGAATAAAATATTTAATACTCAATAAAAAAATTTATTTTTTAACAATGAATTATAAGAAAATAATATATTATGTGTGAAAAATTAAATTGTTACATTAAATACTTACAATGTATATCTTAAAACAATTCTCGTCCGCCATAGCTTTTTCAGCTTTACGTTGATACGACATTTCTGCACCAAGTCTCATGTACGCTGTAGCACATAAACCACCTGCACCACTACTTTCTTTTGGTTGACGTTGTTCTCGCTGGAATAATTCCATGCATTGCTGACATATAGGATCTGAGACCAAATGCTGCAACTGAGAATTTTATATTTTTATTTTAAAGTTCATTTGGAGTATAAAATTATAATGTAAATGTTTTAAAATACTGATATGTATATGCTTACTTGTCTCACGGCATATGTCACAACCTTATCTAACGTAAAAGCGATATATGCGTGAATACCAAACATTTCTCGCAAAGTATCCTCATACGCAGTACTTTCCATATTACCATCTAAGACATTCTTAACCATATCCAAAAATGCAGGATAATAGTCCTCGATTTCAATTTCATCTGGAAATACATTAAAAATATTAAATTAAAATATCTTTTATGTAAATAACATTACGATTTATACTCACTTTTGGGTTTTAATCGTAATGCGACCGCTGTACTCTCCTTGCGTTGTTGTTTGTATCGCGATTCCTCTTCAGCAAGAGCGACAGCTCGATCGTACATTTTTGTTAATCTTTCGCATAAAATATGATGTAACCTTAAAAAAAGGTACCAATTGTTGCTGCCCATGAAAAGCGTGTACGCTTCTTCTGGATCATTCGACATGGCATGAATTGGTACTTTAATATCAGGTTCAGTTTTAATCGATGTGGAAGACGGAATCGGAGATACAGGCGCCTTATTTCTATTCGCTTGAAGACCACCACTCAATGGAGAGATATTCATCGTTGCCGATTGAGAATTACTACATGCTGCTACATTGAGATCTTCTTTCTCATCTGTAATTGCGAATGTGTAAAATAAATTGTTTTGACTATATAAATTCAGCTATAATATTCAGCTATATAATAATATATTTATCAAATTATCAAAATATTACCATCTTCGTCTCGTTCATCATCGCTCAATTCCTGACGTGGATGGAAAAAAAGATCAGGTATAAAATGCTTTAATAAAAGCTTTATTCGTTGCTTGTCTTCCTTGTGGATGGCTGTTTGACGTTTCACATGATGAATAAGAAGATTAGCTGCGTCATCTAGGACAGATTTATCTTTATAAGGTAATACAAGATGTGGACCACTATTATTTTGACCATCCCCGCTGCCATCGTCTACTTGTTCGTGTCTCTACAAAATCAATTATTAAAAAAATTAATTAAATAACAAGAAATATATAAATATTAAAGGAAAAACACAAAAGGAAAAATTACGAACCTCATCATATAATGTTTCAATTTCATTAAATAGACTTTTAGATCTTAAAGCTTTCACATCATTTTGCTTGAAATTGATACCTTGATGATCTAGAGATTTCAAATAGTATTTTTCATTCTGTTCTCTCCAAATTTTATTGAAACCCTTTTGCGCTTCCCGCCATTCTTCTTCTTTACTCTTTAATCGACGAAGAACTACTGGTACTGCTACGACAGGATTTTTCTTAAGACCATCTATAATATCAGCAGCCTTATCACCATATATCCTTTTCAAGGCTCTTTGATGAATTGTAGGAGAACAACCACCCAGACAATCATCTAATTTAAATTTTTGAAGTTCTTCTTGGCTCATTCTACTCATTTTTTTGTGAACACCTTCTAGAACTCTAATCGTTGACGCATTAGTTTCTATCACACCATCTAACTCGAATCGTTCATCCTCGCAACGATAAATGAATTCCTCATACTGAGTTTTCCTAAACATTCCAAACCAACAAAAAATTTTCTATTGTTCGATATTTCATGTAATAAATATTATATATAAAAAATGATTTAAAAAAAATATATACCTGGATGTTACAAATGTACTATCTTCTGACCAAGTTGGAAATGAAACCCATGTATCGTTAAGAACTTCTTTACACAACTGCGTTCTTCCTGTACACTTTGGTTGAACGTAAGACTTTGGTAATGCGCAATATGATGCCCCTAAGCGCTTGCATGCCGTATAGTCAATTTCCATCGCCAAATCACCTTGCGGTCTCTCCTGATGACTTCGTACAACATTATTTGGTAGCGCCTCAACATTTAAATTGCTACTCGCATTTGTTGTATTGGTATTAGAAGATTCAGGCAAATGGCCTAGGAAATCTTTAAACCAACGCAAAAGTTCAGGAAAACGACCAAGAAATGGCGTTACTAACTGCACCAGCTCAGATTTGGAAACTATTTCTTGATTAAACAAAACCAAACATCTGAGGAAATTTTCATACACTTCTTGAGATCTTAATGCTTTACGAACCTAAAAATATAATAAGAAATATTTTCTTTATGACGTATTTATTTTCTTTTCGTTATTGTTATAAAAATTAAAAATTAAAAATACCTTATCGAAGAAAGCATAATCGTTCAGACTACCATATTTTCCAGCTTCTGCTATGGTAACACATTCACGCATAGATGATACTTTATGCTTTTTTAAAGGAGGTGGACCATGCTGTATATGATGAGAGTTTCCAGCTGTTACCGAAGGTGAAAATGACGGACTTCTTTTTAATTGTCCTGTATTGTGGCCAAGTTTTTGTACACTGTTAATATCTCGTATACCAGATCTATCTCTTTCCCGTTCACGATCTCTATGATCACGAGTTTCTCGTTCTATTGTATTAATACCGCTCGATTCTCGAAGATCTCTCGAAATATTTCCTGAATTATTATAAGGTGCTTTAGGTCCCAATGGTTTTTTAACGATTGTTGTATGATCATTAACTGTAGCAGTCTTGTTACTCTAAAATGTTTTAAAAAAATATATTAATTATTTTCAATCTTTTTTCAATATTCATTTTAACAATATGTCAACTTACCAATGCACTTTGTTGATTAGTGGCATCTGGTAAAAATTGTCCAAATTCAGCGAGTAAATCTTCTTGGTTTTCGAATAATTTAGCAACTTGACTGTAAACTTCTGCTTCTGTTAAATGTTTTGCTCCGCCAGATGCACCAGATCCACTTGTGCCACCCATATGTCCAGATTCTTTTAAATTTCGTTGTTCTTTCTGATAAGTGTGTAGAATTTCTAAAAATCTTTTATATTTATCTGGTTGACCTTGGAATCGATTCTAAAATTAAACAAAATTAGATATCTTCAATATTGTATTTTATATTTTTTAATAGAATACAAACCTTAATTTTGTTAACATAATTAATTGCATGATTAAATTCAACTGGTTGGCTCTGTTGAGTTTGTCCACTGGTCGGAATACCATCTTGTGCTTGACTTAATGCTTGACTCACAGCCTGTGCTTGAGCTGCACTAACATGTGAATTATTGTATGCCTGTACTGGTGGTGGTGAGGGTGCATGTACAGTTAAACTGTTATTCGAAATATTATTTGCCAGCGAATGATGTATATTTCCGGACCTGATTTTAAATAACATATAAAATATTATTTATTAATTTATTCTATAAAAATAATGACGAAAATATATATAGTACTAATAGTATCCTACCCTTGCATTATTTGTAAAACTGGTGGAGCTTTTGCTGGTTGTGTTGGTGGACTTGCAACAGGAGGCGAACCAACATTTACAGTGCAATGATGTTGTGACAAGGTAGCAGTATGTGTTGCTGTTGGACTTGGCATACTAACTGATACTTGAAATGCATATCCTTGTTCATTTGCTTGTACTTCTATTTTATATCCAGGTGGAAGAAAGGTATTAAAACCAACAATAAGTTCAGGATGTCCTTTAAATAAATGGCTCACTCTTGTTATTACTCCTGGTGTATCTATGCTTTGTGACTTAAATTCTTTCATAATATCCAAAAAATCATTATACACCTGAAATTAAACATAAATTTAAACAAAAATTGAAAGTATAATTATCATAAATTTTTTTTCAAAATCAATAATCATCATATTTTATTTACCTGAGGCTGATCACTAAATTTGTACTTTACTTGATCTAAATAAGACAATGCATCTTCTACTTTTAATCTCTGGAATTGTTGAGATCCACTGCCGCTACCTAGGCTACTGCCTGGCGGAGTAGAAGCTAATGGTGCTACATTACTAGAATGAACCTATATAAAATATAATAAAATTTGTAAAGTAATCATTTGTTAGTTAAAAAAATCTATCTTATTAATAATCAAAATTATTATTTTTAATGTTTTCTTTATTAAATTCTATCTTTATATAATTATTATATATTATAATTATAATTATATTGTGAATATAATTATAATTATGAAGATATAATTTATAAGTCTCAATATTTGTAATTTATTATGATTTATTATACAATATGAACCTTATGCCTTATTGTTGGTTGTTGTTGGCTATGAACTTGATTTTGGGTGCCTGGTGCAGGCTGCTGGGAACCCATACTATGATTACTTCCACCACCTATTCCACCATGTAACCCTCCACTAGTGTTTACATTGCTACTACTACATGTAGAAGTAAGTCCTCCAGATCCACTTCCCTGAAAAAATAATTGATAATAATTACACAATTTGCATATCTATTTCTTAAAAACTTGATTATATATATGAACTTAAAATATAGAAAATTTTTTTTGTGTAAAAAAAAAGATTGTATATAATTGATTATTCTTTCATTAATAATAAGAAGCATAAAAATTAATTTCACAAATTTTATTTTATTAAAATTATTAAAATTAATTAATTTTTTTAATTAATTTTGTAACTTTATCAAATATAAAAATAAAAACAATAATATAATATATTCATGTGAAAAAAATATTTCATCATATAAATTTATTAACGCAATAATTTAAAAAAACATAATAAATTAATATTTAATTTAATTTAGATCACTCTTAAGCAGATTAATCTCATTTTGCATCATTTTACATATTTTTAATACATGAAGAACGATTATGAATGATAAATTTTATACAAGAAAAAATTAAAATACGAAAAAAAAAATCAATTTAAAACAATGGAACAACTAAAAAGATAGTAAAAATTTTTAAAAATGGCAAAATACGTAGTTATTTTTTTACTCACTAATATTATTATTATAATATAGATAACACATACCTTAATAGGGGACGGAGCCGCAGTCGGTACTACAATTGCTCCAGTATATTGCTGTTGAGCTTGGGCAGTTCCAAATTGTATGCTTCCCGGCATTTCTTTCGAAGCAACTGATCGAACTGCTTGGCCAGGTACAACAACGCCTATTCCACTGCTTGAATGGTACTCCAAACCACCTCCTCCGCCACCTAAGCCACTTCCTGCACTCACTGATGAGTGCTTTAATGTTGCTGCTGCTGGTGATGCTACCTCGTCCAGCCCGCGAACACGTTTCATCGCAGATCACATTGGAAATACTACGGATCGAAGAACGATTATTGTTTAGTGACGTTGTAATTCACCAGAAAACTAATCGTATGTTATTTAATGTCGGATTTAATAGAAATAATTATCGTATTCCCATTAAAACTGTCATAAAACGCGACGCACCAACTCTTTCGCGCGTATCGTATGTTTAGCGCGCCACGAACAGACGGAAAAGGTGTAGTAGACTTTGAAAGTATTCGGTGGTAGTATTGTTTCGTTTAAGGTGATAAATGACGTGATCGACGATGCATCCGTACTACGCTAGCTAACATCGTGCGTGAATACATTGATACAGTAGAAAAAGCATTCGCTAAATTTCGATGTTTTTCTTCTAGATCGATTTCAATTTACATCGTAGTGTTCGTAATTTTGAAAGCACCGCGCGCTCGAGCACCGTGTGACAGAACTTCCGAAGAATCTAAAACAGCGGGAGTATTTTCCTGTAACTTCGAACAACACAAAACTTTTTCATTATAGAATATAATAAAACATGAAATTCAATAAAGATTTTAATAAATAAAACATTTTATAATAATAACTTAAGAAAATTTTTGGTATTTATGTTAAATTTAACACACGTTGCCTATGTGACCATGTTTAAAATTATTTTTGTACGTTAATATATACAATGACTCGTATATATTAATAAATAGTATATTATTTATAATATATTATTTAATTTTATAATTCAATTTTGAGTAATTCGAAACGATTGTGACTTCAGTTTCTTAGTCAATTTAAAGTTAAAAATAATTGAATTACTCATACTCGCAACTGTTATATATATTGCATAATATTAAATAATTAAAATGCACGTGGTTACATTTTCATGATATTATTTATGATAATATTAGAAAATAAATCATGTGAAAATATAATTGTATCTTCTAAAAAATTAAATCTAAAAGACATATTTAGGTAATATAACCTCACACAAAAAGTGCTATATAAATCATTTAGAATTAAATCTCTAATTTGGAACAAAAGAAATTTTTCTTTCAATAAATATTAACATTTATTATTAATAATAATTATATTTATAAATTATTTCATTTATTAGTTTTGTAATCATTTGTTATTATTGTATATACTATCATATATATTTCTTTTTATTTCATGCTTTTCAATTAATTATCTATTAGATACGTAAAAATTTAATGAATACAATGAGTATAATGAGCGAAAGATAGAATACGTTAGTAATATATTTAATAAAAAGTGAAGATTAATGTTTGATATATTATCTATGTAAAATTTAAATTTCACTATATACACAATAAAAGAAATGTCCCTATAAGATCATTCAATATTACACAAAAATATTTTATATTGCTATTATATTATTATTATATTCTATACATTGCTTAAATTTATGAACACATTGATTGATTTTTTATAGATAAGCAAAAAACTATAAAACATATATTCTCTTTATAATTACTTTTATACATGAAGTTTTATAAGCGCAACTGCAATTCTTTCAATATTATTTATAATAAGTTTATCAATAATAAAAAAATATCTTTTCATAATTCTCATTTTTTTAGAATGAAAGTAAGAAAAGAATTGTAATAACAAACAAGTAAATAAACAAATTTTAATATGCATTGATCAATATAATATATTGGAAAACATATTAATGTAAATTTCTTGCATGTAATTAAGAACAAAACTATAATATTATTTTAATCCAAATGATTTATAAACCAAGACTTAAATGTATAACACAAAGAAAGTTATACTAAAACTTAAATGTGTGTTATAAAAATAATTATAACCTAATACTTCTATAAGACACAGTCTACATTCACATAGTAGTTTATAATGACCTTGCATGGATATAGAAATGTCAGTGACTTAGAAGAAAGTAAAAATCTTATGAAAATATCAAAGATGTACATACCAATTTCCATTTGAAAAGAAGTTAAACGTCCTTGCACCAGGGAATTTCGAGAGAAGTTATCCAGAAGCAAGTGGTCGAGGTTGAAATCAAGTTGATCGCGAGGAAAGTTTGTGCTGTTCCACGAGAAGATACGAGCGTCGGTGGAGTTTCTTCCTTTGGAAAATTTCGATCGCGGTATCGCGAGGGGAATTTCGCTGGGATAGAAGAGACGAAATAGAGCCGGTAAAGCCAGCTGCACGGACGCGTAGAGCTCGTGCTGCCCGTGCTGCAAAGTCGTCGAAGCGAGGTTTGTCAGTGTTGCACGTTTCCAAACACTTCCCGGCCCTCGACGTTACGCAATATTCCACGTAAATACATAACACATTTTCTCGAGAACTCCAGTGAAAATATTCGTCCTGCGGTGCTCCTTTTACACAGGAGTCACCTCGAGTATTCGTACGCGCACTTAGATACACTGGTTTTCGTCGTATCGGTCTTTTTCAATCGTCCAACTGACTTTCTGCACAAAAGCTTCGGCTCCGTTGTTTTTTCACGACCAAAAAATCGACGAAGCCTTAACGGGCCGGTCGGTCTGGTCTCAGACAGGAATTCACTATGCTTTCTGGGATCTCCCTCTCAAAACCATCGAAATCTTGTTGTGTGAGTGAATAAACTTAGTAAAATGCACATTTTCGCGAGTACTTTGATGAATTACCGCACTTTTTAAAAAAAAAGGCAAATGGAAAAGACATACTCGCACTCTCTCGAGGTACAAGGCAAACTATTGGATTTTGTATGGCAAACAAGGAACTGACTGGTCGTATAGCGGGATGAGGAAAGTGGAGGGGATCGCGCAGGACCGTATTCATCTACTAAGCGTCTCTGTTACCAACCACTCGGGTACCTCCTGCAAAGCGTACGTGCCGCAGACCTCACAAGACTTCTCTTCGAACTTTCATTAATTGTACATCGATTATTCTTCGGTACTTTTTCCACTACTTCCATAAAGATATTCCACTCACTTTAATTAATTTAATATGTCCGGAATCACATGGAATGTAATTGCTACGAAAAATCATTTTTGAATATAATTAACAATGACAATTACAATTGTAAATTTCTTGAAATTTTATTTTTCTACAGTTATCGTTCAATTACGCTTTCTAGTCGTTCAATAACAATTTAAATTTCATAAAATTTTAGAATTGAAATATAAATTTCAATTTGTGTTTTTATATCTGTTATATATTGATACATTTTCAAAAAAATATTGTCGTAATATATACTAGATTGTATATATTATGCGTAGTACGTTAATACTTCAGATATAAAGTGTTTGTTACAAAACAGCTAATATCTATAGATATAAATACATTGAAAAAAAGAGTATACGAATACTCTCGAACAACATACCGCCAAAGTTTCATTCGAGCACTTCTTCACAATATGAACTTTTCATAAGTCACATTAGAAAAAATAGTTAACAACAATAAAACTTCACACTTTGAAACTTCTGTTTGATCAAATACTATTGTGATCTTTAAAGCATATGGAATTTTAATTACGCTATGTAAGAATGGTAATTTAACACAATTAATGGGATATGTATAACTTTTTATAAATTAGGATAATAGCGCGAGACATTTTATGCGAATGCCATACTACGTAAAAAAAAAACATAGCAACCAAATAGCATGATACGTACAAAATCGCGTACACTATTTTTAACAAGATGTTTTCATAATAATTTCATTCCTTTGGTTTCCGGTTAATATACTTTCATCATGTAAATTCAGCTATTGTGATAAATTACACAAGAAAGTTTAAATGAGATATCTTCAGAAAAAGTTGCATCGCGTCCCGATGAAATTGAAGAATTGTAAGGTGCCTAATGTGTTGTAAGTAGATACAGCCCTGAAAATTGTAGCGGCGAAGCCGCCAAGAGGCGCGCGCAATCCACGAAATATCCAAGCGTTTCCCCGCGGCCGACATCTTCGCGCGGCCAACAGCTGTTCCGAAAGGCGAGCGAACTCCCCATCATAATCTGGGTCATGGAAACTGCGCAAAATGGGTTGCACTTGCACCAAAATCGCGCATTTCTTCGAAAACCGGTGTATCGTTTCGAGAATTTCGTCTAATCCAATAGACTGAACTAGCACGCGATACGTTGTTATCCACACTATAAAATGCCATTCGAAATATGCAAGCTCCTACGACCAGCCGTTGCATATCTGTCAACGTGCTTGACTGGTTCTCGACGAGAGAGCCGTGCGTCGATTGGCCAACGATTTTCGGACATCGACCTACGCGCGAGCCTCGAAACGTGCTAATCACAGGAAGTGTACAAACGATATTTCATCAAATATACACTACATGCACGTGAAAAATCACGTTCTATCCTTTATTCAGATTCAATCCCGCAAAATATTTTTCTATCAAACCATTCGATATCGTTTAACACGTCAGGAGCTAAACACAGTCGCTCATTCGTTGCGCACGTAAAACGTAATCAGAAACTATTGAACACGTATATGTAAACCACGTGATAGATTCAGTACTTCTTTAACCTTTATTATTTGTAAATTTGTAAGTTCTTTTCAAAATAATAATATATATTTGTGCACATGTAATCAATATATACACAGTTAAAATTATATGAATGGTTGAGTGGAAATGAAATACAATATATATTATCTTAATTTTATTATACAATCTTCATGTATATTTTTCATCTCATTCTAATATCATTTAACATATCGTATCGATTAAGAAAAGATCTTTGTTTAAAAATTCTCTTTTGTAAAATTTTTTTTATTATATATTATGTAAAAAACCTGTTTTCAATCATTTTTTGATATATTGATTTTTGACATATTATTGTTTCAAAAAATTTTTAATATTAATATAATTATATTATATTTGAAGAAATTAACACATAAATTTATGTTTGATATTATCAATCGTATATTTAAACAAATGTAAACAAAAGTATTTTATTCTGTAAAGAATTATTTTTTATATAATATTTTATGCATCACTTTAATAGATTCCTTAATAATCGAGATAAATTAAGATGATGTAAAATAAAATTGAGAGAAATAAAAAATTAAATAAATTAAAATATTTGAATTATTTAAATATTTATACTATAGTAAAATAAAATTTAAAATGTTTAAAAAAATAATTGTGGGTATATCTGGTGGAGTTGATAGTGCTGTGACAGCTTTTCTCTTAAAAAAATAAAGGTAATATAAAAAAATAAAGATTCGAGATTATATATTAATTTACAAAAATAAAATTATTGATATTAATATTTTTAAAGGATATGATGTCACGGGAGTATTTATAAAAAGTTGGGACATTAAAGATGAAACTGGAAAATGTGAAATTGAAGAGGCTAATGAAGATGCAAAATGGATATGCAAGAAATTAGAAATCCCTTTTATTGAAGTCAATTTTGTAAAAGAATATTGGAATAATATTTTTTGGTATGTATACTTTTAAATATTGGTTATATTTTTAAAAATTGATACTTTGGTTATTTAACTTTTAGCTATTTAACAGAGCAATATGAAAATGGATATACACCAAATCCTGATATTTTATGTAATAAGTTTATTAAATTTGACCAATTTTTCAATTTTGCTCGTACGAAACTTCAAGCAGATGCTATTGCAACTGGACATTATGTTAGGACTAGTTTTGGTCCTTATCTTGAATATTTTAAATTAAATACTAGTAAGTATAATTTTCTTCTTATTAATTTTAAATAGTTATTTTAATATATCCAATAATTATTTTAAATCTAATTATTCTAAACATTTTATTAGATGTCAAATTACTTCAAGCACGAGATGTAAGAAAAGACCAAACATTTTTCTTATGTCAAGTACCTCAACAAGCATTAAGATATTTCATGTTTCCTCTTGGAAAATATTTAAAAAGTGATGTTAAAAAGATTGCTCTAGAAATTGGTTTGGATAAAATCGTACAGAAAAAGGAAAGCACAGGAATATGTTTTGTAGGAAAACGAAATTTTCAAAATTTTATATCTGAAGTATGATATAATAAATATAGAAAATTTTACATCAATTAATTTTATATTAACAACAAAATAATATATGTATAGTACATATCTGACAAACCTGGAGATTTTATAGACTTGGATAGTGGTCAGATAGTGGGAAAACATAAAGGCTTTCATCATTGGACTACAGGTCAAAATGTGAAACTTGGAGGCTCCCCAATTGCATACTATATATATAAGAAAGATATTCAATCAAATAATATTATTGTAGTATGTATGAAACAAATTTTATATATATATATATTTATATATATATAAATAATAATAAATATAATAATAATATATATAAATAATAATAAAATTATTTTTTTTCTAAATTATATGTTCATATGTATTAATATGTATCAATAGGTGGGAGGTACAAATCATCCAGCACTATATTCAGATTTTATAATAACAGAAACTCCTTACTGGATATCATCAGAACCCAGTGAACTTAATAGTTATTATAGAATGTTACATTGCAATTTTTGCTTTCAACATAGAGATGCATTAATATCTTGCATAGTTCACAAAAATTTAAAGAATCAATTAATGATTCATATTAATCGACCTTTAAGATCACTTACAGAAGGACAGGTATGACTTCTTTATGTTTAATTTTTTTTTTATATATAATATTATTATTTTATAATAATATTCGTTTATTTCAGTTTATAGTTTTATATAAAGGAGAAGAATGTTTAGGTAGCGCCGTAATTTCATTCTGTGGTCCATCGTATTTCTTTCTAGAGCAAGAAATAATGGATTATAATAAATTAAATGAGAAGAAAATCACGAATGTGAGTGTATAATATTTGTTCGTATTTTCTAATGATACAATGTATATTGTAATTTATTGAAAAAAATAAACTATGTTTTAATATTTTAACATAGTTTTTTTAATTGAATATTCCTAATTTAATTTTCTAATTTTTAATTTATACATCTAAATTAAAATCTTTTTTTCTTTTCTCTTTTACAGTAATTTATCATTGATCAATTTTGATCCTTGACTTTTCAAATATAATAACAAATTTATTTTTTGTGCAATTATTAAACAAAAGAAAATCATTTATAGAAGTAATCTGAAATGAGAAGTAAAAGAAATTTTTTCACACATCCATACAGAATCTTTGGTTAATCCATCTCGTTATCGAAAAAATGACGAAATAATATCATTCTAGTGATCAAACCACAGACGTTAGTAATCTCTCTTTAATTCTCTTTTTAAAATATTACACATCAAAACTCGTGAGAAATGATGACCGCTGAAGAAAATGAAATTTATGGCTGTAACATAGTATATTGGAATTTCTTATCAAATCATGAAGATTGTATTAATAGAAAGAAACCACAAATTTACAGTAAGTTAATTCGAAGTTAATATATACTGTAAAAAAAAAAATATATATTCCATAATATTGTTAACATTTTTCATTAAAATATTTTCCATTTCACAAAGTTGTGCAAATTGCAAACAGAGATTCTCCACTCGCAACGATATCTCGAGTGTCCTTGCGGAAGAAAACTTGAAAACGCGTTTGCATATGGCAATGGTAATTGGCGCGCTACATAACGGATGAAAAATCGGAACTACCTCCTGCTCCGTTAGCCTTTTGAAGTTCCATCTTAAAACGGCAATCAGTATTGGCGATGAGAAAAGACTTAATAACGTTCAGGTCACGTGTAGAATGTAAAACAGCGCGACGCGTTATTGAACGATAACTGCAAGTTATTAGGGTCGATTGACGAGTAACTGGACGTAAGGAGTGCGTAAAATGCCTCTCGCGGTGTGCGTGCACGTATAGAGGACCGTCTCGATTGTTGTTGCCATCGCCATTGGCGTTGACCGCCGACGTTACATATGGAAATTACTCTCGTACGAATGTTGCTAGGACTAATTTGGCTATACGTGCAATGTTACATTAACATTCGTGCCGAGATCAGAGCTGCACAATAGCTTCAGTCTGTTCTCTTCATCACGGGCGCACGGTGTCAATATTCCGAAAACTTCGTTCACTCGATCCTATCGAAATTTTGAAAATTTCTTCTTTTCCATCTCGGTTCGAATGTCTTTTCCTCGAATCGACTAAATGGAAATGTAAAGTATCGTAAAAGAATCAAGAGCACGGTCATTGTGAGTGACTTAAGGATAAATAGATTCGATTTCGTTTGTGATACGCGAGTGATTCGCAAGTGTGATTCATGACTGCGCGATGTGTTACGATGAAATAGAATAGGTAGAATAATCAGATTGAGAAGAAGGGGTCGACTTGCTTTCAGACAAGATGAGAAGCGCGAACAGTTTGGACCAATATAACGACGATGACTTCTTCAGCGGTGGTCCCTGCCCTTCTTGTCGCTTAGCCATTAACAAGGAAACTGGTCGACTCAAGTTCGTAAGATGTTCAAAATTAATTACCGATCGTTAATATAACGAAAAGATCGGAAATAAAATCGGAATATTGGAAATTTTTGTTTTGATATCGCAGGTGGTGCATGGGCGGAAACGATACTTGGCGCTTCCGAGTGAAATTAATGCTCCTGATTCCCGCCGTGTTATTGCCGATCACTATAATTTTCATCGCCCTCTCGAGGTCACAGGTGATTGGCAAAACTCCTTATCATCGTACGCATTTGATCCACGCGACTAAAAGACAGGACGAGAGAACCGAGGAGACTTTTCCGCGTAAGTCTATTGCCAGATATACATAACGATGTGGTCATAAAATGAACTTGATATTAACGACGTCCGGTTCGTTGGTTGCTCGTAGAGATTTGAATAGCAGAATAAAGTGCGAGATACGTGGCGTGATTTATCGATTATTGTCAGAGAAAAATAATTCAAATAACACTCGGAAGATGGTATAGCTAAAATTGTTCTTGAGACTTCTTAGTGTAAGTTGTTTCAAGTTTGCCATTGCAGGTGTTTTCAAATTTAATCGTTTTCCTGCCCTACTATTTTAAATATTTTAAACAGCTTGTTTTAAGATTCAAAAATATATCGATAATTCTATAAAAGGTATTAAATGTAAGTCAAGAACGGAAAATGAATATATATATATATAAATCGTAAAATTATGTACGAAATTATGAAGAAATAAATTTTTTGTCAAAATTTTATAAAAATTAATGGAACAAAGAGGAAGTATATTATTCTTAGAATTGTTAGCAGCGACCAGCCGCAGCGAGATAGAGCGGGTAGAAGAAGAGGAAGAAGATAGAATCCTTATACCTGAAATGAAAACTTACTACGCGCCGATGGAATCTCTACTTTCGCCACGACAGCTTCAACGACGCAAGAGAGACCTGGATGGGGTACATTATCCAAAACAAGCAAATTCAAAGCGATTCTACAATGCGATTCTACAGAACGCTCTAGCTAACTGATACCATTTTTTCTTCCTCCGCTTCTTATTCCTTCTTCGCCCTTTTTCCATTTTTTCCAAAAGAAAAAAAAAAAAAAAAAAAAAAAGAAAAAAAAAAGAAAAGAAAAATTACACACATACACATAAAAAAATTAAAAATCATCCTTCCTTCTTGAATCTACGATCGTTAGCTTCGAACAAAACATAGCAACGAACACACACCACAGTGGCCCGTCAATTGGCGAAAAACAATCCCGAAGAATAATTAATTTAGAGTACTTATTACGAAAGGGTAATTATATAATATTAGATTAATTATAAGTAATTATTTTATGGTTGAATATTTTTTCTATAGAGATGTAGGTATATACAAAATATTAATATGTCAAGTAGAAGACTGCAAGGACTTGGCGTCTTTTTACCATGGAGCGCCATTGTGGTCATATTAGAATATACCGAATGAGAATTAGTGGTCAGACGATCGTGTATCGCTGTATTTTTATCAATATGTTAAATTTTTTATCTTTTAGATATTTTTGAAGAATATTAATAGAGATGTCTTCGATAGTAAAAACTTTTCAAAAGGAAATGAGCCACTTCGGATAACAAGTGTCGTGCGCAACGACGTTAATTAGAGTTAATCAACATTAAATTAGTGTTACTGGTGTACTGTATAAATATCGATCGCCTCACTACCAATCGTCTCTTTTCGTGCAAGGTCAATTAAATTTGACATATCTTTTATCCCTTGCCAAAATAACTTCGAAATAAAAAAACGCATTATTTATAAAAATACACAATCTATTCATCTTTCAATTTCTATGTTCTCATTTAACTTTTTATTTTAAAAAATAATATCGCAAAAATATTATTTCTGTATCGAATAATCTGATATAGGATCAAGCAATAGAAGTAGACTACAACACTGAAAAATCAAATGATCAAAATTCCGATGAAAATTTGAACAATTTCTTGGATGATTACTACTCTGAGATGGATGCCGATGAGATTAAAGGAAAATCTGATATACAAACTAACGATTATCGAGAGTAATTATCAATTCTCATAAAATATTATAATTGTATTTCATTTTCGTGGTTTCTTTTTAAATTTAAAAACAAAAAACAAAAGAAAACAAATTTTTACCAATGCGATTATTCGAACTTTCTTCAAAAAATTTTCTTTCGCAGATATGGCGAGTACACCCATGACTCTCATAAAAATGAAGAACTACGCTCCAAGTTCTTCAAATACGACAATATTGAAGAACGTTCCCAAGACGAGTCGGACGAGGGCGAACAAGGTGGAAGACATCAAATTTCCATCGATGACTCGGATTCCAGTTTGCCAATTGATGATTATCAACAGGAAGACGATACTCATACGGATTTCCACGCGTTTTGGAAAGGCGAAGGAAACGAGTGGGCCATCAGAGAGGCTCAAGGTACATTTTCGATGTTGTCCTATTAATTACTCTGCGTAATTGCTGCTCATACGCTTTTTAAGAAACAGATATTCGCCGCAGCAAAAATCATGCTCAAGTATATGGACAAGAGTACTGATCCTTGCGAAGATTTCTACCAGTTTGCTTGTGGCAATTGGGCGAGACACAATCCTATCCCTAAAGACAAAGCTGCCTATGATACGTTCGAAATGATTAGAGAATCATTAGATTCTGTGTTGAAAGAACTTCTTGAAGAACCTATATTGAAAGAAGTTATGTTGAATACGGATGATGCTATAGTCAAGGCTAAACATTTGTTTCAAAGTTGTATGAATTACGGTAAATTTTTTTTCAATCGGATATCTTTGTTTATTAATTTTTATTAAATGAATGTCAATTTTAACACGAGACATGTGGCTAGAGATCTTGGAGCAACGCATGGAACGGCCGCTTATACAACTTTTAGATGAACTTGGTGGCTGGCCTATATTGAGACCCAACTGGGATCCAGAAAAATTCGATTGGCTTCTTTTGGTTGCACAATTGAGGCTTTATAATAATGATATCCTTATTTCGGAATGGGTTGCACCAGATATTAAGAACAGCGATCAATATGTTATACAGGTAGAAACTTTGAATCCTTCAAATTTTTTAGATAAGAAATTACTTAATTTTTATAAAGTAGTGACAATCGATATTTTATACAATATTCGAATGTTATATATTTTCTATTATATTTTTTATTGTTATACTTCTATCTTCACTTATTAAAGTATTAAATTTAAGAAAAGTTAAATTACAGTTCGATCAGACATCACTGGGTTTACCTACAAGAGATTATTTTCTTCAGCCATCGAATATGATTTATCTGAAAGCTTACAAGAATTATTTAATAAAAATTTCTACTCTTCTGGGTGCATCTTTGCAGAATGCTACTATGGACGCTGACGAATTAATAGAATTTGAGACGAAACTTGCCAAAGTATGTATAAATTTCAATTCTTCTAATTTTTTTTATCTAGTTTGATTGTTTAGCAATTAACTTTGTATTTCGTAGATCACATCATCTCCTGATGAAAGAAGAAATCTTTCTGAATTATATCAAAGAATGAGTATTGGAGAACTAAGGACTCTGATACCTCAAATTAATTGGCATCGATATTTAACCATCGTTTTAGCTCGACCAACTAATATTTCTGAACCTGTTGTTGTTTATGCGATGCAATATATCCAAGACTTGGTAAATCTTCTTTCAAAAACTAGTCCGCGGTAAGATTTTTTAAATGTGAAATATGATTTAATATGAACTAAACATTGTTTGAAAAATTTAATTTTAAATAATTTTTGTGTATATTTTATTTGCAGAACTATCGCAAATTATCTTCTATGGCGATTCGTTAGACATAGGGTAAATAATCTAGATGATCGATTTCAAGAGGCTAAGCAAAAATTTTATTATATTCTCTTTGGAAGAGAACAAGCACCCCCCAGATGGAAAAATTGTGTAGCACAAGTGAATTCCAATATGGGCATGGCTGTAGGGTCAATGTTCGTGAAGAAATATTTCGACGAAAAGAGCAAAAACGATGTAAGAAAATTTTTTTTTCTCTTTAATTAATTAAATATTTATCAATTTGAAAAATTTTTCTATATAGACATTGTCTATGACTCGAGAGATACAACAGTCATTTAAAGAGCTCTTGAATCAAACTACCTGGATCGATGACGAAACGAAAGAATTGGCCACCGAGAAAGTGAACGCGATGCTGTTAAGAATCGGCTATCCTGATTTCATTTTACAACCTGAATTGTTGAATGAACGTTATAAGGATGTAAGAATAACAAAGTTGATTTTTTTTTTAGATTAGATAATTGATAGACTCGTTGTTACAAATATATTTAAATATCTGGTCAACTTTTAGATCGTGATCCGTCCAGATAAGTATTTCGAGAATACATTAAATATTTTACAACATTTGACCAGGGTGGAACAGGATCGGCTTGGCAGCCCTGTTAACAAGACCCTCTGGAATACCGCACCAGCAGTGGTCAATGCTTATTACAGTCGTAGCAAGAATAGGATAAGTCAGTATAATTTCTTTAATAAAAACAAAATAAAAAAGAATCTATATATAGAATTTTATATTATCGTTTTTCTTTTCTTTCAAATATTAAATAAATCAAAAAAATTACCAATTAATTGATTAATTGCTAAATCACTTTCCATCCTCAGTGTTTCCAGCTGGCATACTACAGCCGCCCTTTTATCACAGATATTTTCCACGGTGTTTAAATTACGGTGGAATAGGAGTTGTAATTGGCCACGAAATTACGCATGGCTTCGATGATAAAGGTCGATTATTCGATAAGGATGGTAATCTACACAGATGGTGGAAAGATGAAGCTATTTATGGATTTCATCAACGTGCCCAATGTCTTATCGGTAATCAATGAGATATTGATCTTTTTAGCTTTCTTTTGAACATTGTTCGAATATTATTCAATCTTTTAGACCAATATAGTCATTATATTGTGCCCGAAGTTGGAATGAAGATTGATGGAATGAATACGCAGGGGGAGAATATCGCGGACAATGGTGGCATTAAACAAGCTTTTCGAGTAAGCAATTCCTTTCTAATTCAATCTTTTTTTTTTTCTTTTATAATTATATTTAACAAAGAAATTTATGAAAATTCTTCAAGATATTGTTAATAATTATTTTTTATGTTAAAATATTAATATTTCTTATAATAACATCTTTTAAGGCTTACGAAAAATGGTTACGGTTAAACGAAGATGCTGACGAAACTCTGCCCGGTTTGAACGCGACCGGAAAGCAATTGTTCTTTCTCAACTTCGCTCAAGTATGGTGTGGCTCGATGAGACCGGAAGCTACTAGGAATAAATTAAAAACCGCGGTGCATTCACCTGGCAAATTTCGCGTAATCGGTACCTTGTCAAATTCGAAGGATTTCGCGGAAGTATTTCATTGTCCTCTAGGCGCACCTATGAACCCAATTAAGAAATGTTCCGTTTGGTGATGAACAATGTGCTTGTTATTCTGCTAGTTTCATCGTCATATCGATCGTTAGTCGATTTAAATTAATCCGAGCAACATGATTGAAGAAAAAAAGAAGAGTAAAGGAATGGATTGTTCGTTGCTCGATTAAGCGAAGGAATTTACATCACGATGAAAATTTCATCGTTGAAAGAATATTATAAAACGAAACTGTAGTATCGTGCTTTCAATTGTTGTTGATACTATATACGGTTAGCATTAAAATTAGTAAAATAAAAATATAGAATGAAGGAAATGAAGAACCGGAGGAAATAATGAAGATAACCATTGTTGAATAATTATAAGTTATCATTTAACGAATAAGGAGCATGCAACGTAATCGAGAAATACGATTCGTATTGCCAAAATATGTTGTGCAGTAATAAAATAATTCTTTTGCGCTACTTAGGTTTGATCTGAAGTATCGCGTAATGGAAAAGCTTCGTAGATGTTGAAAACAGCTGCGCTGTTCAGTTGTGTTAAGAATGAAATTGTAAGACAAATACCAAAGACAATAATAATTTCAGACAATCATAAAAATCTTTACAATCTATTTCCCTGTATATCCACACACTACTACATGTATTGAATTCTTTCGTCGTTCTATTTTAGCTTACACTTCCTGCAGATCTTTACCTGACCTTGCGGAATAATCTGAGCTTCGTGATTATTCGTTATCATCCACGTAATCGTACATACTATGGATACAAACTCGTTTCACGTTATATTATTTTTTCCCCCCTTTTTCGCAGAAGAAAAAAAGGGGTAGAGAAATTTTTCTCAATATTCATAATCTGGCATACCAATGTCTCGCAATGTTTCCACGAAACACACACACGAAGAAATCGTTTATTCAATTTAGCGAATACGTCGCTCTCTTTCTTCTTTTTTTTAGTATTTCACTTTTTTCTTCTTCCTTTCTTTTTTTCTTTTTTTTTTTTACTAAATTTCTTAATCTCACATAATTATAATAAATAGTGTAAAAATCGTTGAACATCGCAAATAGGGTATCGACGACATCGTGTACGTGGTCATAGCTTTAATAAAAAAAGTCCGCAAACATTTGTTTCGCAAAGGGATAAAAAATACAAGGAATGAACTATCTGTCTGTAAATGCGATATCGATTGACTATCTTGTCGCCTTGTACTATGGTACTCTAAGTGACATTAAAATATTTCAGTCAGAATAGCATTCAAATGCATCTCAATGAGTAAACTTTCGATTCATTCGATTCATATTGACTCGTCGAGGTTTACTTCTTTTTTTCTTCCTTTTTTAAAATTCTTATAGTGAGGGAGAAGACTCGTGGTTGCACACGATAATGCAATATTTATCACACTTATTCGTATAAACTTGCACACAAAAAAGGAGAAAAAGGTGTTTCACCAATTATACAATCCTATCTTTACAATTTATTTACGTATTGCCTTCCCTTAACGAGTAATTGATTAAAGTAGTATGGAAAAATAAAATCGTACATACATAATGTTCTCAATTACTTAGTATAAAGCAAATTCAACGAAGCATAGTGGTGTTCATTTAAATTAGAAGAATAATCGTAAAAATATTGTTAATTATATTTTGTATATTCTGTAGTTATTTATTTGAGAATTAACGCGAAAACTCGAATATAATATTTTCATATAAAGTGTTCTGTATTATTTATAATTACAAAAGTTTAAAATTTTATTTTTTCCTTCATTTAAGCGTAAAATTCAAGTGAAACAATAATACTTGCAACATTTGTATAATATGCTTCATACTAATTAATTTTCATAGCATGAATTAACACTTGATTACATACTTGCAGTCATAAGTTGTACTAATAAATCAGGAATTTTGCGAATATCATCTTTTATTACTGACACTTTTTGCTCCTTTACCTCATTTCCTTTCTCTTTTTTCATTTTAATCAATATATGCAAAATCTTCATTCCGATTTTGCATTTCATAAATTTGATGTTTATATACCCGTATAATTAAAAGTACAGCCATATTATGACATGAGAATGAATATTCAAGAAAGAAAAATCTAAAATATGTAAAAAACAAAATTTCAATATTGTAAGTAAAAATTATCAATTCAAAAATTCAAAAATTATTTTTTACATTGATAAAAATAAAATAAAAAAATACATGTCAAATATAATAGAGAATATAGTCATGATTATTTTAAGTTAAGGAAGAAAAAGTAGGACAAGAATATTATCGATAAAACACATATATGGAGTTAAGAAGGATCCTTTTTTTCAATCTACATGCACCCTGCGTTAAAAAAGCACGCTTTTTCGCCATCGTATTTTCTTTTTCTTATACAGGATATCAATATATTTATGAGATACTTTTGATTGGTCGATTCTAGAAACTAAAACAAAAATATTAGTTGAGATTTATTTATTAAGAAGTTTAAGTTTTTATTGGATGAAGCGAAATGTAGATAGATTTCATTCTATCTAATGCAAACTTATAACTTAATAAATGAACTTCAACCGATATTTTTGTATTATCAATTATAATGTCTTTTTTCTTTAGAATTGACTTTCTGAAATCTCATGAATATATTAATATTCTACATAGATTGCATTATACATATTCTCGAATGATATTAAATACCAATGGAAATTCGATGGTCTTAAATCTATTTTCTTCTTTTATGTATAGCCATTACAAATTATATGATAGTTTAGATTCTTTATTTTCTATGACGCTTTATCAAAATTCGTCTATTAAATATATATATAAATATATATATATATATATGTCTCGCGTTTGCTACTTCCATCCACTTAATTCAAGGTCAAGTGGAAATATACCTTAATTTCCTTTTTTTTTTTAACTCCTATTACCATTGTTACGTATACATATTGCATTAACAAGTATCTTCACTTGTGCAGAAACTGGTACTCCAAAATGTCTTCTTCATCTGTAAAAGAGAAACGTGCATCTTATGTTTTAAGTCTCAAGAATGTTCATTTTCTAGCTGCACTAAAAGGACATACTATATTTTGGAGGAATATATAGACAATGATATATAACGAAAAAACGATTAAAATAAAGGAATACGATATGTATACAAGATATAAAAAAAATAGTATTTGCCTTGTAAATTTATGCAAGAGTAATTGCAAACTATCGGCAATACAGATACGAGACAATATGTTCTACTATTGCAAATAAACGCATTCGTAGATTTTAATCACAAATACTCGTACGATGCTGTATTTATTTGAACAAGCAGTGGAGTGCAAAAATCTCAAGACAAGTTTAAAGATGCATTGTGTTAATTTTATTGTTAAAATAATCGATAAATATTTTATTCATTAACAGAAACTTAAACTTAAATAAAGAGAAAAATTTAACCGAACGTAACATGAAGCAAGAGAATAGAAATTTAAAGATTAATTAAAATAAAAAGATAAGAAGATTACTTGTAAAACTGTCAGATACAGATAGTTTTCTAATGTTTTAAAGATAATGTTTTGAAAGATAAAGATATACGGAAAGAAAGGAATCAACGATGAGTCACTCGATGTGACAAAATAAAATACACTCACAGATATTGTCTCTGCTATTGTTGTCCAAATCGCTAGTCTGTGTACGAGTTTCCTCGTGCATACGCCGTTCTGCATCAATCGCCAGCGCAGCACAAGGCACAAAAATGACTCGATTACGTCTTTGACATGGTGTAATCCACATGCGCACAACGTAAGTTGCAAAGGAAATTGAGTCATTTGTTAGACAGAAAGCAGCACGTCCTTTTAGAGCGGCACAATAAATAGAAAATAAAATAAACCAAGTTAAAAGTATGTCTGTGAATCACAAAATTTATATTTTCAATTTTTTTTTATAATTTTTTAGAATTTGCATTTCTTATCATTTTTGAAATTCAGATGATGATGAAATTGCGTCATCTTGTAAATATTAATTTTGCATTTCTCAAACATACTGTACAACCTGTCTGCAACATAAAATATGTATATATTTTACAGAATAATATATAATAATTGATACCATAATGATATCGGTAAACCAGTTTTGTAAACTACCTTCTTAAATATCGAATTACATAATTATTTGCAGCAAAATGAAAACGTTCATTGAAATTAATGATTAAATGCCAGTGCGCAATTTTCCAATGAAATCTTTGCTATACAATATATTATGTGCTTTATCAAACTGGTAAGAAATTTTTTGCGATATATAATACCGTTATATTATTCTCTAGAGACAATACATATGTAAAAAGTGGATCTATTTATGGATAATTATAAGATGCCGAAGAAAAAGAAAAGTAAAAAAATTTTAATTGTTATTTTTGGAAAATTGCACGAATGATTAATCAACGAAATTTTCAAACATGGTTCATGTTATATAAAAAACATCAATAATATTCTATAACATATGCTTTATAAATATTAAGAAAGCAATGTAAATAGTTCATGTAAATATAAAAAGTAATAAAATCGATACAAAAAAATAAATCGATAAAAATTTTTAAATTGTTCTTTTTTTTTCTCTCAATATGAAATATTAAAAAAAAACATTGCACCATATTTGAAATTACTCTTATAATGTTATAACGCCAATGCATTTATGTGCATCGAATGCAAATATTTTCTAGCGGCATTTTATAAAAAGAATATTATTTCGATACAACGTGATATACTAAATAAAAATTTATATAATAATAACGCAACGGCAAGACGCAATTAAATGTAACAAATGTTTGTTGAAATTAAATAAGCTTGTGTGTGTGAGATGCAGAAGATAATTCATAATAATTTGTAATAATTCATAAGATAAAATGACATCAATGAACATAAACAAAGAAATGCATACACCTGGGAAGCTTGTATATATAAATTATAAGTCGCAGTTTCTTCAGTATTTTCTAACACTGATAAGATGGCACATTTAATATGAGCATAATTCGATCTATTTACATATTGTCGAACCTGTGATGCAATACCACATAACATAATTGTGAACAATTTTTTTATCATCATCAAATAACTTGAATTAGTAGGAATACAATAAAAATTTGTCCTTTACGCATGGACAAT